CCTTCCCTCACAGAGGCCATGAAGATAGGCCTCTTGCCTCTCTCCTTTGCTGAGGGGGAGTGGGGTGGAAGAGGGGTGTCCTAAGCCAGAAGTTTCATGCTTGGGAGGAAGTGGAAGGCCACTTTGGGGAGTCATTAAGATATCTCCCTATCCCTGGCCTCAAGACTTGGGCTTGGCTAGACCTCCGCACCTGCTTCCAGATCACTCTGGTACAGATCCCAGCCCAAGGGGAACACCTGAGGATGGTCACACAGCTCTGTAGTCCTCCATTGGATACATAAGCTCTAGTAGAGATAGGCAGACTCCCTATCAGCCCTCAGCTGATGTTTTCCTGCCCTTGTCCTGAAATCTGAGTTACAGCTGCTCGCGGCCACCACCCTACTCCCTGGGGCCTCTTCCCCCCATGGGCCCAGAAATTGGGAGCCCAGGAGAGAAGAACACCTCTGACCCACATTCTCTGAGTGTCCCCTCAGCACAGGAGGAAGATTGCCTCATAGAGGCCTCCTGGGGTCTAGCTGTCAGCTATCCAGGAAGAAATACCCAACACAGGACCCCACAGGGACCCAGCTGTCTTTGTCCTCCTGGGTGCAGAAGAGCAGATGTAAAGAGCCTGCTCCCTTTGGAGTGGTAGGGCAGACTTACCATAGGATTGCAATGAGCCTCAGCTCTGTTTAAAGATCTTTGCTCACGGCACCTCCCCAATTCGGTCTGATGCCCTGCCTGACACAGCCAGTTTCTAGGGGTCACAGTGGTAACCCCTGGCCTCTGGGACTCTTGTTCTAAATGCTCCCACACAGCTCATGCCCCTTCTTGTTTCCTTCTCTGTCCCTGTAGCCCAACTCCTGTTTCCGACCGCCACAGAAAGATTCCCCGCCAAGCCTAGTGGCCAAGGCTCAGTCTTTGCCCTCGGACCAGCCAGTGGGGACCTTCAGCCCTCTAACCACCTCGGATACCAGCAGCAGCCCCCAGAAGTCCCTTCGCACAGGCCCTGCTGCTGGCCCGCTTCCAGGCCGGTCCTCCCCCGCGGGCTCCCCCCGCACCCGGCATGCCCAGATCAGCACCAGCAACCTGTACCTGCCCCAGGACCCAATGGTGACCAAGGGTGCTCTGGCTAGTGAGGACACGGGTGTTGTGACGCATGAGCAGTTCAAGGCTGCACTCAGGATGGTGGTGGACCAGGGTGACCCCAGGCTGCTGCTAGACAGCTACGTGAAGATTGGCGAAGGTTCCACAGGCATCGTCTGCCTGGCCCGGGAGAAGCACTCGGGCCGCCAGGTGGCTGTCAAGATGATGGACCTCAGGAAGCAGCAGCGCAGGGAGCTGCTCTTTAATGAGGTGGGAAGACAAGGTGGACATGGGTGGGAGCGTTTGGGATGGGCAGTGAGCACACACCCAGGCTGGGCATCTGTGAGCAGGGGCAGCAGGTGGCCAAGCCCCGTGGGCACCATGCCCAGCGCTCAGGCCCCTCACTTCCCCCAGGTGGTAATCATGCGGGACTACCAGCACGTCAACGTGGTGGAGATGTACAAGAGCTACCTGGTGGGCGAGGAGCTGTGGGTGCTTATGGAGTTCCTGCAGGGCGGGGCCCTCACCGACATCATCTCCCAAGTCAGGTGGGCAGCTGGGAAAGTTGGGCCATGAGTGTGGGTTGTCTCCACTATCATCCCGGCAAGGTAGCTGGACAGCACTGTCAGGTCATCCTGGACCCCTTGCCTGATTGGGGTAACAGAATCAGTGGTCTTGGGAATGGGGAAGAGAAGGGTGGGGCACAGGCCCCAGCTTTCTCCAGGGCTATGGCCTGATTGGGCTGCCACACAGACTGCCTGGGAGCCATGGGGCCCAGTATCAGGGATTCAATACTCTGTCCAGCCCAGTGACCATGCAGTCCTGCCAAAGCCAACATTTGTCTTCCTTTGGGATGCCCTGCCTTCCCTGTCCAGGCTGAATGAAGAGCAGATTGCCACTGTGTGCGAGGCCGTGCTGCAGGCCCTGGCTTACCTGCATGCCCAGGGTGTCATCCACCGAGACATCAAGAGTGACTCCATTCTGTTGACCCTCGATGGCAGGGTAGGCCGCTCCCCCTCCCTGGCACAGCCATGCCCTCACTTCTCTGCTCCCAGCACCCCTCCTCCTCCTTTCCTCCTCCACTACTCACTTCCTTTTTGGCCCCAGGTGAAGCTCTCAGACTTTGGATTCTGTGCTCAGATCAGCAAAGATGTCCCTAAGAGGAAGTCTCTGGTGGGGACTCCTTACTGGATGGCTCCTGAAGTGATCTCCAGGTCTTTGTATGCCACTGAGGTAACTGTTCCTTTCATTCCCCAGGCCTCCCAAAAGAGGCTTGAGCCACACAGCTCTTCTGTTTGTGGTCCTCTCCCAAGCCCTCCCCAAACATGACCCCAGTTCTCAGAGTCCCATTTAGTCAATTCCTTTCCCCTGCTTTTTGATGGGACTGCTCCCATCCGTGATTTTGCTGCTAGTAACGGGTCCTTCAAGTGTTGCCCAGTTCAAGGGCATAGTAGGGTATGGCCAGGCTACCTGTATAAGATGGTCTTTCTCAGAAAGAGGCTGACAGCTGTGTCCCCATAGGCAGTGGTCACTCCTGGTCACAGGGTAGGTGACCAATGGAGGAAGGAGACATGCTCACCAAAAATAGCTGGAACCAGCTGCTTCCCTACCTCTCAAGCTCCCCTACCCTCCAGCTGCTATCAAGGGGCCAGACTCTGACATTGGGGTCAAGGACAGTCTCCTTCTGCAGGTGGACATCTGGTCTCTGGGCATCATGGTGATTGAGATGGTGGATGGGGAGCCACCCTACTTCAGTGACTCCCCAGTGCAAGCCATGAAGAGGCTCCGGGACAACCCCCCACCCAAGCTGAAAAACTCTCACAAGGTCAGTTGGTACACAAAGGGTGACTCCACAGACCTCCAATCCTTCTGAGGCAAGAGGACCAAGGCCTAAGTGCCCAGCAAGCCCCAGCCTCCTCCTTTTACAGAAGCTGGAGGGTCTGGGCTCTCAGAAAATGCTCCTCTTTCTGCACATAAAACCTAAGCCTGAGTGTGGAGCAACATCCATGCACAGACTCCCATGTTCATGCCAACAAGTTCCCATGTCCCCCTCCTCCCCTCGCAGCCACAGCAGTAAAGTCGCTCCTGAGCAGGCACTTGACAGTGCCCAGAAATATCCATGAGCACGAAAAGCACAATCCCTGCTGGCTGGGGAGGAATCCAGAGAAGTTTAATTGAGCGTAAACCCCTCTACCCCATATGTCAGGAGATCCACACACAGCAAATCCGCTTGTCCCCCATCACTGCACATCCTGACCTCAGCTGAGCCTCAGCTTCCTCCTTAAAACCAGTATATACATGTATATTGCAGACATCCAACCCTCTTCTGCCCAATCCACCGCAAACTCACAGCCCTTACCTGTGGACACCCCCTGCTGGCAGGTCAGCACCGGGCTGCTAAGTGGCACTGCCATCTGGTGGCCAGAGCAAGAAATGTCCCAGAGGGTTGAAGCCCAGTCTAAATAGCGAGAGTTCTGTGGCTGAAACACAGGGTTCGGAGAGGGGGCGGGGCATAAGAAACATTTTATAAAACGATTAGTCCTTGGAGCCTGCACTCCTAACCTCAAGATTAAAAGATAGTGGATATCTCAAATTGGCTAATTCCCAGAAGATGGAGCCTCCTGCCCAAGACAGCCTCATTCTAAAATAATGGCTTAAGCCTTGCCTAAGACTGTAAAGCTCAGAGGTATAAAGAAATCTTCCTTTTCAGGTTCCTTGTTCTCTTTTTTCTTTCTTTCCTTTTCTTTTTTCTTTGACTTTTACCCTAACACCCTATCCAGAGTACAGTGGCATCATCTTAGCTAACTCTGTTCTCAGACTCCTGGGCTCAAGTGATCCTCCTGCCCCACCCAGCTAATTTTTTCTATTTTTAGCAGAGAAAGGGTCTGGCTTTTGCTCAGGCTGATCTCAAATTCCTGACCTCAGCCTCCCTGAGTGCGAGGATTACAGGTGTGAGCTACCATGCCCAGCCCCACCTTGTTCTTTTTCTAATTTTTCAAGCATTTCCTTTTCTCTGACCTTTTTAGAACTCTCCACTTTAAAGCCTTATGTGACAGACAGGGCAAGCATGCTTTATCACTAGCCCATTTTTCAGATGAGAAAACAGAGGCCTAGAGCTGTTACTTGCCTCAGACCATGAATAGTCCCAAGCTAGACATCTCAACATCAGTTCCATGCCCCTCACACACACCTGAAGTGCCTGAATGCTTGACAGCCTTGAGAATTGGGGGGTAAAGGGCACCAACAAGAAATCAGAAAATTTAAGATGTTCAAACAATGGGAGGGCCAGGCATTCAGGTCACACCAAAGTGACAGCAAACCATGGCTTCCTCTTGCTGCCCTGCCTCTACAGGTCTCCCCAGTGCTGCGAGACTTCCTGGAACGGATGCTGATGCGGGACCCCCAAGAGAGAGCCACAGCTCAGGAGCTCCTGGACCACCCTTTCCTGCTGCAGACAGGGCTGCCCGAGTGCCTGGTGCCCCTGATCCAGCTCTACCGCAAGCAGACCTCTACCTGCTGAGCCCATCCCAAGTGCACCTGCCACCTATGCCCATAGGCAGGGGACACTGGGCAGCCAGCCTGCCGGCAGGGCCTACCTGCCTCATTCTCTCAGTATTCTCTCCAAAGATTGAATGTGAAGTCCCACCCCACCCTCCTGCCCCTCAGCCCACTGGGCCAGGCCGGACCTGCCCCCTCAGTCCCTCTTCCTCCCCCAGAGTCCCCAGTTGCCTTTGGGATGATGGAGACCCCTACTACAGAATGACCCCTTGTTATTTGCACAGGGATATTTCTAAGAAACGCAGAGACTGGCACTCCTGGCCACTGGGGCCAACACAGCAGTAAAAGTTGCTGTGGTTTTTAAAAGTAGCATCCCAGGCCACCATAGAGGACAGACTGTCTTCACATGAATACTTGCTGTTCTCAGCTCCTGCTTCAAACCTTGGGATCTCAAGAGGGATACAGGGAAGATTTTTATTGCCTGACTCCCTTTTCCTCCCTGTGTCTGACCTCCTGAAGGCACAATCCCCATTGCACTGCTTCTGACCACCTGCACTGCCTCTCCCCACATGGCCTGTTCAGAACAGAGAATGGCCAGCTCACAGGCCATGGGAGGGTGGGAGGCATAAACGAAAGAGAAAGAATGGGGTTGGTCGTAAAATGGTCTCTTTTTACAGGACGGAGAAAACATTGTGTGTGGGTGTGGGGGGTAATATGTGTGTGTGTGAGAGAGAGAGAGAGAGAGTGTGTGTGTATGTGTGTGTGTGTGTAATAGTCCGTGTCCCTTCAGGTCACCCATAGCCAGCTTAAAGAAGGCTGCCACCTACCCTGTCTCCCTAAGTTCTGACCTAAAGGGACAGGCTTTTGTGGCCTGGCTTCCCACTTCTCAAGTCCCATGTTTCTACCTGACCAGTAAAGAGGTCTGAGTTAAACCTAACATCCTGGGGGTGTAGAAGGTTTCTGAGTTTTTCCTGTGCTATGGAACATGAGGGCCAGAGACAGGAATACACTTTGTTTTACCTTTAAACTTTATCTACAACCAGGTCATCAGGGACTGTTTTCCTCTTCAAAACCCTATTTGGGGGAGAAGGTGAACCATCTCCCAGGGTTCCATCACGTCAAGGAAACGGGCACCCCATTTGTGTGAACCATCTGCCCCTAGCTGCCTCCCGCAGCTAGGAGATAGCTGCACCTGTCTCCTTGGTCCCCTTTCTCCCCACCTTCAGGGCTGCTGTGAGACAGGGAATTCCAGGGAAGAACTTCAGGTGTCTGGACCCGATCTAGACAATATTTTTTAGATTTTCTCTGCTCCTTAGTGGCCTGCTTTGGGGCAAAGAAATTGCAAGGACTTTTTTTAAGGGTCAGTGTTTTAAAAACAAAACCATCTTCCCTAGAAATTTTTGTGAATTGTTTGCACTTGTGCCTGTTTTAAATTAAACTGAGTGTTCAGAACCTCTGGGCTTCCTGTCATCTCTGGGAAGAGAGCCAGGCCTCCGAGCTGGATGCCTGCAGTGGTCTCTGGGGTGGCCCTTCCTCCTCTCCCCTGTGAGCTCCTCAGCTCTAGTCCCCAGCACACCCAACCACCCTGGTGGTGTGTTGGCTCAAAATGAGGGCAAAGAAAGAGGAAAACAGGAAGTGAAAGGCCCTTGGGACTGAAGGAGTAAGAACTAGAGCTCCTTCCCAGGGCAGAAGTGCTGTGTGTAACAGGGATGGCCACAGCTGTTGAAGACCACTTTCTGCAATGGCTTTTCTCTTCCCCTTTTGCTTCTCACTCCTGGGACTTCAAGCTTCCATAGGAAGTGGTCTGAAACTGCTTCTAGTGGGAAGCTTCATTTCCCAGAAATGAGGGAAATGGTGTGGAGTTGAGGAAGAGCAGAGCAGTACCTGGAAATCGAGAAGCCTGGGTTCGGCTCCTGGGGGTGAGGAGGATGACAAAATTAGCTTTCAATTTCTAGTTCCAACTCTGATTCTGGTGCTTCCTTCCTGAGATCTACCCAGCCCAGGGTTCACTGAAACCTCTTAGCTCAGAGCAAGGAGCCATGCAGACCTCCCACTTCCCCAGCATTGGCACCCAGGCAGGTGCCCTGGTCCTATTGCCCCAGCCCCCTCCCAGCTCAGTTGGAAGCAGCATCTGCAACTTACCTTCCCTAGGGAGCCAGCCTTAGCAGGACCTGTAGAGCCAGAGGCTCACTAAAGCAGGAGCCTCCACAGGCAGCAAATGTATCCTTCCGTCACTCAAAAGGAGCTAAGAGTCAGGAGTGGTTGGTAAGGCAAAGAGAAGCCAGTTCTCGCAATGGAATAATACTGGATTTATTAACTATTCTTCTGAGTGCTAACAGTCCTCCCACCACACAGTCTCGCTCTGAAAGGGCATGTGTACGTCCTTCAGCCTCACACACTGATCAGTACTGAGATCCAGTGGCCTGGGCGACTCTTCACAATGATGAAAGCAACAAGAATTAGGAAAGCAAAGTATGTGGAAAAGTCTCTTCTAAGGTGGAGAGAGCTAGAGAGCCCCAGCCTCAACACCCCAGCACTGACAAAGAGAGGAAGTTCAGGGGAGTGAAATGTGGTGAAACATGGAAGTTCTGCACGGAGCTGGGCCTGGTAAGGAGTCTGTGAGGACAGCAAGGCAGTAAGACACACAGTTCAGTTCAAACAGGAGCAATCTGCCACGGTTTTTCAGAAACATGACTTTCTATCCCCAAACTTGGGGTAACTCCACAGAGATAAGCCCTCCTTTACCCAATAAAGAGAACCCAAGGTGAGTCTCAACCACAAAGCCAATGTGTCAGAGACGCAGGAAATATTACAGCCTCGGATACAGTGTGCAACCCAGACCTCATACTGTGTTTAAGCCAAAATTCTTAATTGCCTACACCATTAAAAACTTCATTAAAATTGAACATAGTTGAGAGGGGAGGAAATGAGCAAGCAAAGATCAGTAAGAAGCAGTTTGCACTGGGGACGTCCAATGATCGCCCCCCTCCCCGACCCTCTCCCCACACTTTTCAGGCCCTCTGGTATTGTGTAACCACCACCCAGACAGGGGAACTGAGGAGAGGCAGGTGTTTGGGGAAAAGATGGGAGGGGGAGGGCAGAACATGTCAGAAAAGAAGCAAATGGCATCATAAGAAAACTGCTAATTGGCAGGTCCCAAGGTTCAGGAGGCATAAGGGAAGGGCTGTACGCTCCAGTTTTTTGGAAGAGAACAGTGTCTCTGAGGTTGAGGAGCTTTAACTTGGGAGATATACTTGGGGTCCTTAGTGAAGAAGGTTCTGGGCTCCTGCTACTCTCAAAGCGAGTTTTTGTTCATTGTACTTCACTTGATTGCTGTGAAATGATTTCAAGTATCTGGATTTAATATTCTACAAGAGGAAAATGATTCCATAGGTTAATGCACACAGAGGGAGAAGTACACAGCGGTGATCCCAGATAAAACTACAAGTCTGAGCTCGGAGCCAGGGCGCAGCGGGGAGAGCGCAGCGCTGCCGCCAGGGGGCACCAGAGATCACCTCCTGTGGCCCGCCGGGCGACCTAAAGTGGTGGGTGGGGCGGTGAAAGGACTGGGGAGGTGTCTGGCCCATACACATGGCCCACTCCGAACCTCTCGCCTCTCCCCTAAGCCCAATTTCTCAGCACAGTCATTCTCGCTCTGGGCAGTTCTCTCGGAGTTACTGTAGTAAGAAACCTTCCGTCCTACAAAGACGAACAGACTCACGTCTTGAAAAGACGCCACTTCAGGCAAATGAGGGGCTGCAGGCTCAACCCTCACGGTTCATTAAGAGTCGCACAGCTGGGCGCGGTAGGTCACGCCTGTAATCCTAGCACTCTGGGAGGCCGAAGCGGATGGATTGCCTGAGCTCATGGATTCTAGGCAAGCCTGAGCAAGAGCGAGACCCCTCTAAATTATAGCCTGGCGTTGGGGTGGCACCTGTGGCTCGAAGGAGTAGGGCGCCGGCCCCGTATGCCGGAGGTGGCGGGTTCAAACCCAGCCCCCAGCCAACAACTGCAAAAAACCAAAACCAAACCCAAAACAAAATAAAAAAATAATATGTATATCTATAATAGCGTGGCATTGTGGCGGGCGCCTGTAGTCGGGATGCTGAGGCAAGAGAATCGCTTGACCCCCAGAGTTGGAGGTTGCTGTGAGCTATAACGTAACGCTACGGCACTCTACTGAGGGCAACGAAGTGAGATTGTCAAAAAAAAAAGTGGCATCTGCGCCACCCCGTGGGCTGGGCGTGCTGCCAGTGCTGGCGCACACGCGATCCGCCAGACTCCCTACCTTTAACCCCGCCCCCTCGCTAGGCGGTACAAAGAGTGGGCGGGCCGGGGAGGGGACAAAGGACCAGGCCGGTACAGGGCCTTTAACCACCTCTCCACGAGGGCCTCTGACTCACTTAACTGGCCGGTAATAATACAGGGCCCAGCCTGCATCCCACACTATGAGGGAAAAACAGGAGTCCTGGGTCTGGACCTCTAGCAGCCATCATCTGTCCTGCCCTTCATTATTGGCCTAGCGAGAAGCAGGAGCGTTTAACAGGCCCCTTCCAGTTCTCACTGGAGTTTGATGTAATTTAAACCCGGACCTGCAGCTCGTGTGGGCTCCTGACTCCTGCACGCCGCCTTTTAACGTCGCAAACATTTCAGTCAATTATCCCCCTCGTGGAGTTTCTATTTAAAGAGATATTGTCAGGTTCTTAAGACTCAGATCAGACCCGCTGCTTTCTGCTTCATATACAAAGATTCCAAATACAAGTTCTTTGAGAATTGAAAGAAGCACAATTAAGCAAAGCCTTCGCAACCGTTCCACCCCACGGGAGCACCCACGTGCGGGACGGAGGAGCAGAGAGGCGTGGGGGTGTGGAAGTGCTAAGTCCTTTCCATTTCTGGCCTCTGAGAGTTAATGAAAATAAGGCTGGGCCCCAAGGGGTGAGGCACTGAACCTCAAAAATGGAATTGAAAATGCATCTGAGCTGAGGAGCAGGCTGGGTAGGGGTTGTGTGGGGAAGTGACCCCACATTATCAGTGAAGTTGAATCCTGAGTCTGAGAGGCAGAGGGAGCTCAAGTTACCCAGAAGCTGGTTGAAGAGAGACAACTGGTGTTCCACACCAGGAACTCTGCTACGCCCAAACTCCTGTCTTGAGCTCTGCTACGCCCAGAAAACAAATTGGCCAGATTTTTTTCTAATCAGCTCTCCTGTCCAGAAAGGTTCTGGGACCCCTCTTGGTCCTCTCCCCCAACATTTGGGGGGCAGAGACTTTGATAGATTGTGGCATTATTGTCAGCATCCCTAGGGGGAGGGGGCTGTTGGGCCTTTGTTCTCCAGGTTGATTCTTCTGCCTGCCAGGGTGTTGGGAAACCCAGCAAGGAGAAGGGAACTGGGCAGGGGCTGGCAGGAACCTAGGCATGTCCAGAACTGAGCCAGGTTGTAGGAACCTATGGAACCAGTCTTCCACACCTCACCTTCCAGGGGCAGAAAAAGCAGGAAATACCAATAAGCACACACACACAAAAGCAAAAAACAAAGATGTAAGATGGGGGTCCCCTTCTCATTTCTGGTGGAGGTCTTGCTTTGGCAGCGGGGACAGGTTCTGAGATGGGGGTCGAACTACCGTGGAGGTGAAGGAGCAGGGAGAAAGGGAAAGCAGAGACACTTGGTGGTGGTAGGGGGGGCAGGCTCAGGCCTCCGAGCAGTTTACCGCTGAGCCTGCAGCACCACAGCCTCCGTACCTGCCTGCCAAGGCTTCGACCCGGGGGCCGAGAGGGGCAGAGCGTTGGCCTCTAATTCCAGGCCAGTCTCAGGCCCAGGCGCCTCTCCGACTAGGCTGGGGATGTCTGGTGCTGTGGAGCGTCGGCGCAAACCCAGGCGGCCAGAGCCAGGGCCGCCCTCTGGGTGGGGGCTAAGACCAATGGGCGCTTGCACCAGGGATGGAGGCGCTCCTTCTAGCACCTCGTGTGAGCGCCACCGCCCAGTCCCTGAAGACTGGGGCGAGTTTGGTCGGGCCATCAAGGCCCCTGCCCGTAGACGGGCCGCCTCCTCCTCGGTCACCGCACCCAGCGCCAGGCTCATGCTCCGGCCCAGCTCGGGTCGCTCACTGCCCTGAGCCCGGTGCCGCCCCGAACTCTTGCCTGCTGAGCCAGCCTCGCCACCGTGGCCATGGCCGCCCGTCCCTCGTGCAAAGCGAGCCAGGAGAGGCCGCGGGAGGCGGCGGGGGCTGGGTCGTCGACGCTCCGGGCTGGGCGCGGGGGGCGGGCGGCCGGGCGGGCTGTCAGAGTTGGAACCCCGGGCCGCCGCCGCTGCGGCGGCGCGGCCCCATGGCCCGGTGAGGGCCTGCACACAGGTCCCGTGGCCACGGGCCGCGGCCAGCTGCAGCGCTGTAAGGCCCGCACGGTTGGTACGGTCGAGGCGCAGGCCAAGGCGGCGGAAGGAGCGCACCAGGAACTCGAGCACCGCCCCGTGGCCGCACGCCGCCGCCCACATCACCGGGCTGTTGCCAGCCGAATCCGCCGCCTCGGGGTCTCCACTGAACTGCACCAGCAGCTGCACGGCGTCCAGGTGGCCTCGCTCGCACGCCAGGCTGAGTGCAGTGCGGCCGCGCTCGTCCCGCAGGTTCACGGCTGCACCCTGCTCAAGCAGCAATCGCACGAAGCGCGAGCGCAGCGCGGGGTCCGGCAACCCCACGGCCACCATGAGCAGCGTGCGGCCCTGCTCCGCACGGCAGTCGATGATGCTGCGGTCCAGTGCGTCCAGCACGAAGCGGGCCAAATGCACTTTGCCCGCCTGCATGGCCTCCAGGAAGGTGCGCGTACCCGCTCGGGGGCACAGGTCCTTGGGTTTGAGCATGGCCCCGGCCGCCGCGCCGGTGCAGCCCGGCAGCTCCGCACGGGGGCGCCCCTGTCCTCGCGCCCCGCGGGGCTCCGGCCTCCGCCCGCGCTTTAGTACGGCTCCCTTCCCGTGTGGGCGGCGGCGACCGAGGGTCCTGAGACTTTCACACGGATAGCCCCCGAGGTTCCCGCTACCCAGCTGCTCCTCGGCCGCACGCCTGGCGTCTCGCTGCTCCTTCCCTGGGTCTCCCGCCTGAAGGTGTTGATTGTTAGCTACTCCAGGCTCAGCTTCTGGCCCGACGCAGACGTCGGGAGCCGAAGCTCGGCCCCCTGCTTAGTCTCCCCCGCTTTCTGGGTGTCCAGTGCCCTCAGGCCCTAATGGTTTGGAGTCGTGCCACTCACCCGCACCCCGGGCAGCCCCCGCTCCCCTGCTGAGACGGTGGCGCCCGCAGCGCACGCCTGCCTCCAGCCCTGGCGGGGCGCGCCGCTCCTCAAGCTGCTGGCGCCGTTCCTCCGCCTCCTCCCTTCTCGCGGGGGCCGGGCCACGCCGGGGTGCTAGCTCCTTACTTGGGGGGCTCAGCGGCGCGGGAGCCGCCGCCCGCCTAGATACCTGGCTTTATAGCCTCGAGATTCTCTATGGCAATGGCTGCCCTGGAAGCCGGTTGCGCCGTCAGAGCAGAGATGGACAGGGCGGGGGAGACCGCCCTGACCTCCACCCCTTCGTGGGCAAAGAAGTCGGGGAGCAGCTCCTCCTCCGCGCTCCCCTGGGAATGCGGCGGTGGTTGCAGAGCGGGGGCGAGGGCTGCTCTCCGGGGGCCACAAGCACCCGACCGGGCCAATCCCAAAGTCGCAGCCTTCTCTCCCCGCCCTCCGCCTCCACTCGAGTCGGGGCCCTCGGCTCCTTAGAAACTGGCGGGATATCGGGCTCTTCTGGGAAGACTGAGAACTGCCCCGAGTGGTCCACTGTGAAGAGAAATGGGACCTTGTGAGGGCAGAACTGGACCATGCGACCTGGGAGTGGCGGCGAAAGACGGATGAGGAGTAACTTGGGGGAGGAGGACACATGTGCTGCGGGTTGTGGGGGGCGCGCAGTCTGGCTGGGAACTGCCACTCGAAGTGCAGCGAATCACGCACTCACACACGATTGTTCCTCCCGCACACGCTCACTGGGAGCGGTGGGGGGGTAGTGGGGAGCGCGCTCTCTATCTCAGACGTCTCCAACTCCGACAACGCGCCCGCGTGCCACCCCCGGCGGCTGCGTAGCAGGCGGAGCGTAGACGCCTCACCCACCGCCACCCAAACGGGCTGCTTAGCACCCAGGCGTGCTGCAGGCATGTTAGCAGCTTTTCAGCCCTGGCTCTCCACTACTCCAGGACTGGCCACCACCTAGGAAAAGGACCTACTCAAGACTAACCCCCACCTACGATCCCAGTCTCTCTCATAAGTACAAAAACCCTCCTCGGGCCACAGAGCTCTGGCTGTGACTACTAGCTGATCCATAGGGAGCGGAGAAGAGCACAAATTCCATTTTCCGTGAGATGCGTGGAAAAAACACTGCATCTTCCCCCCTTCCCACCAGCAGCCCATCCCTTCCCCCCTTCTGGGGAATGAAAGGAAAAGATACACAGATCTGGTTTGGGAGGAGTTAGGGAGCCTCAGAACTTGGGAGATGGGGAGGCATGAGAAGGGTTGGAGTGGATATTTGTAAAGTAAGGAGTGAGCCAGGTATCAAGAACATAATTTACTGAGACTTCATGAGCCAGGCCCTGGGTTCCTGGCAGTGGGAAATACAGAGGCAGAAACTGGGTTCTTGATAAAGGAGATTTCCCCTTTTAATCTAGAGGACAAGACTGAGACTTAAAAAATGGGGGTTATGACCTGAGGGTTGACTACATCTGCTAAATACAAAACCAAGACAGTCCTTGGAGGAAAAGATGAAGTTGTGCTGAGGGGAGCGCTTTGGGGTCTTCTGAGAACAGGACTTTCCAAGTTGGTCCTTCAAGGATGTGTGAAATCTGGCTGCTAAGAAATAAAGACCACATTCCAGACAGGGAGTTATAGAGGCAAAAGCATGGATGCAGGAAAAACACCGTAAGGGGACAGTGTTGAAGGCTGCTTTAAGCGGTCCCTTCCTATAAGAGACAGGAAATTAAAGGAAGAATGAAGGTGTCCTCCATCTGGGCAGGGCAATGATCAGATGCTTTGCAGTAGAAGATGCCAGGGGAAAGTTAGGGAATGAGATAGCTCCTTCCCAGCAACAAATGCTATGTGACAAAGTGGGCTTGTGGTCCCACACCCTGACCTCTCACCTCTTTCTAGCTCCCAACTCCAAGGATTCCCATCTTGGATTCAGCACCCAGGTTATGAAGTAGGGGCTTCCACTCCCCTCCGTCATATGGGGAGCATGTGATACATACCTGCACACACTGTGAAGCCACCCATTTCTCTTTTTGCATATTTTAAGCCCTTGGTTAGGAGCCTGCCAATTTTCTTTCACAATGTCATAGAAAGGGCACGGTATTTGACATCAGAGGTTAAGTCCCAGCTTGAAGGCATTTACTAGCAGTGTGGCTCCAAGCCTGCATATTCTCATCTGCAAAACCAAGCTGATAAATACCAGCCCTGCCTGCTTCACACAAGATCAAGTGAAAGAGTGTCAGGGAAAGAATTGCATAGTTATTTAGAGTGCAGCCCTCACTGCTCCACCCCCAGGCCTGGGGCCCCCTCCTGGGGTGGCCCCCAGGAGTGGGTAGAGCCTCTGTACCTTCAGGAAGAAGGCAGGGGTGCTCTCCCGCTGTACTCAGCAGAAGAAGAGCTTTTCTTCCTTTTATGACTCAATTTCCCTGTTCTGCAACATGAGGAAAATTGCTTTCTTTCCTTCTCTGTTTCCAGGGTCAGGGAGGGAGTACCTCCAGAATCTGTGTGTGGCAGACCAGCTTGTCATGCCAGGCTGTGCACTCCCAGGGGAAGAAGAGCAGCAGGTACCCAAAATGGGCACCTACTTGGTCCTGAAGAGTCATGTTCCCTTCTCCTTGAGCCTTCCTGAGACAACTCCATTTATGTCCCTGTTCCCTGTGGTGAATTGAGACAGTTCAGGGAAGAAGAGGAGTCAGGGCACAGTACTGGTGCCCTTTGGAAGGAGCAGCTGGTTCCATTCGCCCCAGCTGGCATTGCCAACCTAGCCAGCTCCATGGCAGGATGGGGGGGGGGGTACCAGGTCTCAGGCCCTGGAACCTCTACTCTGACTCCCCTCTGGGCTCAGTATGTTATGAACAGAAAAGAAACAGCAAAGCTGAAAAAAAAAGCTGAGACTTTGCTGCAGAGCACAGAGGCACCAACAGCCGGAATTAGAAGCTGTCGCTTAGGGAGCTGAAGGCTGACAGGAGAAGCTGAGGCAGGCAGGGGGCAGGCAGGCACTTTACACTCCCTCTCCCCTCCCACCTGCTGAGCCTGTCCTCCAACAGGCCCCAGGCTGGCAAAAGGGCTTCCTCCCAGATGCACCTCAATGTGGTCTGTCACTCTGTGCCTCCCTGTCTGCCATTGCCTCCCCTTCTGGGGCTCTTTCTTTCCTCAAGTGTCACCAGCCCCCTCACCGTGTCACGTTGCACCAGCTCGGCAGGGTTGGGCCTGGTGGCACGTGTCTGGGAGATCCAGAGGGCTGCTTGGGGGTGCAGGGAGTGGGGTGAGTCAGCAGGGGACTCGCATGTGAATCAGCAATGGGATGGGGAAGGGGTAGGGACCCTTCTCTTTGTGCAGAAGGTGAAATGGAGGCACGATGAGTAGAAAGGGGACCTCAATCTTACAGATACATAAAAGGGATGGAATCCAGGTGCCCTTCACCTGCCCCAGTGCCCTGAGGGAAGGCATCAAATCTTCCTCTGCTTGTTCCCTGCAGCCACAGATTAATTCCTCTCCAGGGCCCAGAGATGGCATTTGCCCAGGAGACACTTTGTCTTTTCTCAGAGAACAGAAAGAATGGAGTTGAGTATCCAGGCCTGGCCACATGGGAAACACCCATCCTGCTGCTGTGCTGAGGTCTCTGCAGGGGCAGGATTACATCACCTTCCCCATTTCCGGGATTCCCAGTTTTAGCTTCAGACTGGGGGTACAGAGACTGCTCTGCCTGGCCCAGAGACGGGAAGGCAGCTTCTTCTCCTGAGCAGTCATTGGCAAGACCCAGGGGTTGCCCAGTGGGCTCCATTTGGCTCTGGCTTTGGCTTATACACACATGCCTAGGTCAGTCTGGATCCTCATCCTTACAGGGTTCCATCCTTGGGCATGGTAGGAAAGGTAAAAGAGTGCCCACCTAGAGGGTGGAAGGCAGCACTGCCCTGGGGTGTTGGTGTCTCCCCTGGCTGTACCTAGTCTATAGCAGTCTAAGGGGTAGGCTGATCAGTGCCAGGCCTTAGTCTTGTGAATAAGCAGGCCCCTTGCCTCATCCTGCAGCCAGGGCCTGGTAGGATCCCCCAGAGGAATGGGGGGCCTGTTTATTTTCCAAAGGCACAGGTGCTCACAGCTAATGGTATCTGATATATCTGTGATAAAAAAACAACCTCTTCCCAGAATTAGTCCCCACTCTGCCTCTCCCAAGCCAGTACCTGTGTCCACTTGGGATTTGGGATTATGCCATAAATACAGAGAATGGTGGCTTCCCACAAACTCCTGTAAGCAAGTTTTGGGTCAACCATAGCTGACACAGGGGCCTGAGCATCTGATTGTGCTAAGTTTTCCTCAAAAAGGACCTCAGGTGGCCTAGAGGTTTGGGACTCCCCAGAAGGGTGAGGGGTACCTTTGCACTAAGCTCTTCTGTTCAAGCTCTGAGGGTAGAGACAAGGAAAGGCCACATCTGTGTGGGGGTAAAGAGGAGGTGACATCATTTTCCAGTGGATGTGGCATCAGGGCCAGCAGAAAGAGAAGTAAATCTTCTTCAAGGCATAGGCAAGGCCATTTCACTGAGCTTTGGAAAGGACCTCACCCTGGGTTCAGCTCCCAAGG